GTATATAATTTTTGTATATGGCTTGAAAGGGCATATCTTCAAGTATCTAAATCCCAAAAAGGGTACGGGTCTGCCAAGCCATAATAAAGATACGGCCACAGAAAGAAAGCCAATTCCCAGAACTTTAGAGGGCGCTATTTATGTTTTGCAAAGCCATTGGAGCGTCAAATTTCGGATGGCTATGTGCAATTATGAGATAAAGATACTGTCAGATTTAGATGCAAAACGGAATTTATATGAGAAAGTTATGGCAGTTTTAGATTATTTAGGGGTCAATTTTTCAAGAACTTGGGAGATTTTTGACGAAGTCGGTTTCAGATTTGAATTTTTAGTACGAAGATGGCATTTTGAAGGTCAGGTTATACGTCGCAGATAAAAAAAACATCTCTTAGACTATCTAGAGGAATTTGTTAGAAGTTTGTAGGATCTAGGATAGTGGAGATAGGAAGGAAAAAAGAAAGGCCTTAAAATGGACCAGAAACGGACAAAATGGCGCCTGGACGTTTATGCATGAGTGATTTCAGAAAACGAAAAAGTAGGTGACCTAGATTGGATATCAGAGATTACGTCTACGAAGTTTGAAAGAAATCGAGCAAGAGAAAAGAACCTAGATAGGAATAACAAGCACTACGTGCAAAACGAATGGGATTCCGGACGACAAGAAGAAGAAGAAGAACCAAGAATATTAATAAGAAGAATGTGAACGAAAACAAGGCAATGACGCAGGTCGTCATTGCAACAAGAATATGCTTGAAAATTAAGTAAAGTAAACTTCCTTTTCTAGTGTCAATTCAATTCACTACACAATATTTCTTTTTTAGGCTGTGGTAATCAAAGACTAGCAAATTCTCCAAACTAAGTTCTGCTGGTTGTGAATTCTCAGTAAAGAAAAGCCATTAATGAATAAATCTCTCTCTAAACGGTAAGATAAGCATACCAGCAGTACTTGTCTCATACCTGTCTTACCTGTAGAATTCTACTCATCTATCAGGCAAGACTTCAATCTATATTGAATGCTGATAACACTGACTGGAGTAAATGGTTTCTCACAACAAACGAGAGATGGTTCATGAAATTCACTGTATGAATCATAAACCCAAGGCTTGACACTAACAAGTGCCTGGGGACACATGGGCACCCAAAATTTAAGTCCAGACTCCCCCACCCCCCCCCCCCCCCCAAAAAAAAAAAAATGGAAAAATGAAAAAAATGAAGAAAAAAAATTCACATAGGGCTCCTGTACACAGACTTTTAAAAAAAAAATCAATCTAAATCCTCTACCCCTAAGGTTGGTGGGGAGCCCTGTATACAGTCTGGTTAAAATTTAAACATTCAATATCATAACTAACATTTTAACATTACAATGGAATAAGTTCACTCCCTTCTATGCTTCTGCCATCTAATTATATAATGTGTTAACCAATCAGATGACATCTGCAGCTCATTGCAGAAAAGTAAGCCTTCCAATTGAAACATTATAATTAAAGCAGCACCTCTTAATCCTTCATTAATAAATCAACCAATTTAGTAGCTCGCAATACACTATCCAACTGTCGGAACAGCTGCCTTATGCAGCCTTGGTGATTTAATATTCTAATTGTTTTGTACTTTCTACCTGGCAAACACAAAACCTTCAGCAGATGAAGAGAAGCAAGGTTTTTCCTGTAATTTGTTTAAAAGGTTTAACCTAATCAAATTATAATTTGGGAATTAGCTATAATAAAATTGCAGTTGAATGTTAATATAATGTAATACAATAAACATGCTTTTAAACCTCCTTTGTGACCATGTTCACAAAGTCCTAGTACACTATAGATAGCTGTATAAATGCAAAAAGGGAAGTTTGGGCTAATTTTGCTTTATCATACGATAACAGGGAAATGATTTTTGTTCCCTCTAGTGCCTGCCATAACCAAATGACCCTCGACAATGACAAATCGGTCTGGAAATAGATCCTGTTGCATGCAGTGAAAAAACCGCTGACCTTAAACGACCAACCCACCGCTTCACGGTTTTCCCCGTCTTTTCTTTTCATTTTGGAATCATGCTGGCCCGTTCCTGTACGTCAACCAATGGCCATGCAGTGTGTTTGGGTGGATCAGGTGGGGCTTAGAGCAACACTGAATCATTTAATAGATATTCACCGGTCTTGTCAAGGACGTTTCCTTCCATAAATACCTGGGATTTCAACGCCAGATGGTGTTGTATCCATGTGAACAAGATATCCTCCCGTTTGGTGCCAGAAGGGCATTAATGTTAGTAAAAAGATATGAGTTAATGCCCTTCTGGCTCCAAATAGATGATATTTATATAACATTGGATGGCTTTGAGTGTGAAACAAGAATATGTTGTCATAGCGAGAGCAATATTTATTTATATAGTATCACACAAAAACAAAGCCATACAATATCATTATCTACATCAGGCTGACTAGCGAAACAACAAAATTTGCCTCAATAATCAAGCAACATTGTATCGATAGTTGAAGTTCCCGGATGACAGAGCAGTACGAAAACAATATTGATCAGTCATCCGGGTACTTGACTAAAGATATTAAATACACTGATTGATTGTACCACTTGGAAGCCTTACTTAGATAATAATGTCTATTATCTGTAATATCAAGTAATAGTACATGTATTGTTAAACCACTAATGGACAGTCATCAATCCAAGCTAATTCATTCCACTTTCTAATACCACTTAAACAAGTTTCCATTACCTCTGCAAACAAATAAAAGACATTTGATTCCATGACAATCAGCATGTTTATAAAAAACATAAGTGAGTTATGAGAAGAGAGTGGTAATACATGTAGCTCTAATAGTTTTACAATGAGCACTGTAGAAGGTTGAGTTTCATTGTCATTATGCAAGTGTGGAAGAACAACAGAGAAAAAATGTTCCCTGAAAAGCATGGCTCTTCAAATGCCTTCATATTCTAAATATGACATAACACCCTAAATATGACTTAACGCCTTAAAAATGTGGGCCTCATTTATATGCCACATGTTTGTGTAGTCCCATATACATCTGTCTATGTACAGTGCTTGCTACTTTTACCATGACTGGGCCAAATTTCTTTATATATTTTGATGATTCCAGAACCTTGCAGTACACACCAACAATTATTAGCTACATGATCAACTTTTTCTAATCAGGTCCACATCGTTTCTTTCACAATGCAATCGCATGACCAGACCTCAACTTTACTTTTCAGTACAGAATCATGATATAATCCAGTGACCAGGGTATTAATGTTGTAAGCACTTTGGCCGGTCATATTGTAACTAGTAAAACACTTTGTAAGAAACAGTTACTACAGTTGTCATGGTCTAATTCTAGAAATACATGCACAATATTAAATCCCATAAAACAGCCTCTTCATTTTCAGTAAAATTTCACAACAACACAAAAATATCAATATTTTTCATCCTTTGGTAATCATCAATAACCTACTAGTCCTCAACTGGTAATCCTACACCTATATGTATTGCCTTTGCCTATAATTGAATCGGTCCATGAACACAGCAGAACGTGACAGGAAATAGAAGCTTTATGTGAAGGCCTTGGCGCAGTCTATGTTCAAAACAATATCTGATTAATGGACTAGCGAGACTAAGATTTCTTCTACATGGGAGGCTAGGACACTAAGAGTGTGATGGAAGGCAACGAGGACAAACATGGCTTCAAGTAGTATCAGATCCGTGAAGTAATTTGAGATTGATGCCATTAAATGGACACCAATTCATGAGCATTTGTGCTTAAAGGTAAAGACCAGTATTGGAAACGCCCCAATTTCAAAATATGAAATGGAAGCTCTCATTACCAATCATGTGAAAGAATATGTTTTGACTAATACATGATGATACAAAATTTGCCGGGAAACTGCCTACTAATTCATATATTTGTTAAATTTGTTTCTCTCATGGTCTGTGAGAGATATAGGGTAGTCCCATATACATCTTTCTGTGTATAGAGCTTGTAACTTTATGAGGAATGGGCCAAATATCTTATCATTTTGATGATTCCAGAACCTTGCAGATGCTAGATGCTAGATGATCAACCTTTTCTGATCGATTCCACAACGTTTCTTTCACAATGCAATAGCATGACCATAACTGGTCTTTACCTTTAAGCTGTCATTCTAGTGAACCTTTTTTGATTCATTTTAATATGTCGTTCATGGGTGATTATGTAATTGCTTGCATTATAATAGGGTCTTCCATACACACAGCCATTACTGCAATTGATATACTTGAAGATTTCAGTATGTATTTATATGTGTGAAGCGATTTTTTTTTTTTTTTTTTTTTTTTTTCTTTTTTTTTCTTTTCTTTTCTTTTTTCTTTTTTTACTAATCACTGAGATTTGGATAATGATTCTAATCACATTGAAAGTATGTTTCTAATCAACAACCACAAGTTTATGCTGTGGTGTGCTGTGTTATGAAATAAGAACTTCTAGTTTCTATACGTCCCATGTATCTATGAAAAAAGAATACCAACAAATATTTAAAAAGGTGAGATTTTAATCATGGATTCAACTTCAAACTTTCTCTTTCAAGTGAAAGAGTCACTTATCTAGATTTTGTCTTTACATGTTTTTTAAACTTCCGATATTCTTTGTCCAAAGTACTTTTTAAATCACTTTAGTCAAGGTCATTCTACAGCACATTGGATGCTATGAGGAAGAGTCCAATCATCACAGCATGACAAGGTTACCGTTAGTATCATTGAAGTGAACAAAACAGTGTAGATAATATATAACTGCATGTACACATGTTATCCCACTAGAAAAGGAAAGTATGGCAATTGTTTACAATCAATCAATAGGCCCTGAAACTACTTTTAAAATACTTTCTATTGGTCAAACTTTCAATACCACTCAATGCCAGGATAATAGTGATGTATCCCTCCTTCTCTTTTAATTCCACAAACTTTCCAGGATATGATATCCGACAAATTACACGCGAGAATCTAGTCTATTTCAAAATACTTACTGCAGTGCGTGTATCCATTCTTTCCTCTCATCGTCGGTCGTTGCTGACATGCGATACGATGTATGTCTGCCCTCTACCACCCGACCATCACCATGCGTCTTAGCGGCCTTGATCACGCTCTTGTTTGTCGTCACCAGCTCAAAACATTGCTACAAGGATAAAAAGACAAAATAAGTATAAAACAAAATTTGTGAAAAGAAAAAAAAATGATCATATTGGTGTTTTTGCCTTTTTCCTTTTTTGTTTGTCCTATTTTCCTGTATTCCCGAGATCGATGGACCAGTATTGACGAAGGTCAAGCGAATCATGAAGTGATTTTTGTTTGTCTACACAAGCATCGGGTGACTGCCTGTCAGAAATGTTTGGGGTTTGAATTTATGATTTTCATTTCAGTTACATTCATTTACCCACTACAATGCTAGAATGCTTTATGAATACTGTTGAAGAACATGGGATAACAAATTACAAGATTTTACTTCTAATTTTAGGATGGAAGCAAGACCAATATTTTTTTATGGCAGACTAAATCCAAGATAGTCTAGCTTGATAATTATCACAATGAAATGAAAAGCATTGAGTCACTGTAGTCCCACTTACTGCTTTTCTGTTATCTTCTACTTCCTGTACTTGAAGGTTCTCGAGTGGAATGATGCCCTTCGGTTCACGATCCTAAAATAAAGAGGGGAAAGAACATCAAAGAAAGAATTTAAATACAATTATAATAATATATTCCGATTTTCCAAAACAGTCAATATCAGACAATGACCCCTTCATATTAGGAGTTGGATTTTTCTTTATTTTGTTCCTCTTAATCTGATTAATTCTTATATGTGATGATTGCTCACATGTACATACACTTCCAATTTCTTGAACTACCCAATAATTAAAGCTGATTTTCTTATCTCTCTATGCTCATTACTCAGCCCCTATATATTTTCTACCAAAATCTTTTGGCATATGTTTTGGCATAATTGTTATCTTGAAACATTCAGTGTAAGTTTTGTTGGATTCTGTGAGAATTTATTTTCTATCATCAAGGTTTCTTCAAGGTTTCAAGGTATCATTACCAGAATTGATTGGGTACCTTGAGCATTCAAGCTTTCACCATTCTAAATATATCTGAATTTAGTTGCTAGTTGAATGATGGATGCCAGAATTTGGAAATGACGTACACATTAGGTAACCTTTGATGGATCGAGGCACGATCTCATTTAACCATTCAAATCTCTGTCGCTTCAAATCTTTCTCAAGTGAACCGAATAACTTGAACCAAACTCCATGGATTTATAGTTCCCATTTATGATCTGACAGACAGACAGGGGTGTGAGGGGGAAGGGATTTAGAATTGACAATGTGACTCGGGGTGTGAAGGGGCGGGCTGTCACATTGTTAGGAACATGCACTGGCTTCATGTAGGAAACAAACAACAGATGATGAACAGGTGGGACTATGACACTCATCTTTTCAATTTCAATCTCTCTCTCTTCTTAACCATCTTAGTTCCAATTATACTTCACCTTTGCATTTTTCTAGGTGATATTTTCAAGTGTTCTCCCGATGCATTACTTGATAATCGTACAATCCCTCCATTTGTCATACTAAAACGTCATTTCAATTTTCTTTACTTAGGTTCTCTTCTTTTTGTCTCCTCACTAATTTTAAAATGTAGGCATATTGTGTGATCTGTTTGTCTCTTTCTCAAACATTTTACTCAACCTTTCAACCTCATCCTTTCATCTGTATGATTTATGACTGGAAATGTATCATTGAAGCTATCCATTTAATCCCCCTATCCCACACCCTTTTCTGTTCCCCCTTTATCCCTCCAAATCCCCCCTTCTCTCTCTCTCTCTCTCTCTCTCTCTCTCTCTCTCTCTCCTTTCTTTCTCCTTATATCTCTCTTTCTCTCTCTCTCACTGTCTCTTTCTTTCTCTATATATCCATCTCTCTTTATCCTTCTCTTTCTTGCTCCATTCTTTCTCTTTTTCTCTTTTTTTTTCTTTCTCTCTTTCTTACTCTCTTTCTCTCTCTCTCTCTCTCTCTCCCTCTCTCTCTCCATCTATCCCTCCCTCTCTCCCCCCTCCCCTCCTGTCTGCCCCCATCTCTATGATGAAGGAAGCCAAGTGTTTCTTTCAGGGTGGCTGAACCCATGAGTCACTTCTCAAAGCAGCCACAAACAGGAAGCTGTGGCGGCGATAGGTCAGTCAGGTACCTCAGGTGTTCATCTAAGCTAAGCCCCCTGTCTACCCCTTACCTCCTTATACGTAGTGTCAATAAGGAGCACAGTTTCCCGAATTACCATCATATTTCATACTCATATATCAAGGCCTCTTCTCAAAATCTTCATTGAAAAAAATCATGTATGGTTCATAAAAGTGACATTTCTGAAAGAATGAATGTATGATTTTTCTTTCTTTTTCTGTTACAGACCAGAAAAGGAATGGTGGTTGAGTATCAGCTATAACAAGCCCAAACCCTTCCAAGATAGAAGATTAAATTTGTTTTTAAAATAAATGATGAGTGCAAAGTTTAATCTCTTATCTCGAAAGCAAAGAAAACAACATTCTTTGAATTTCTCAATGATGTAAATTTAAACTGTCTCACTTTCAAATACCGGTACTAGTATTTCATTGGGTAGAATTTCATCAGTGTTTGACTTTAATGCTCGAGGAATTCACAGGTTCATCTGCGCCAAAGAGCCAGAAGGGAATTAACTCTGTGTTTTAAAAAAAAAGAGTTCACACCCTTCTGGCCCAGGGCCCCCGTTTCATAAAACTTGTTATCAATTAAACAAGCTCCGATATCGGTTACAAGCTACTGAAATCCTGGCATTTGATTGGCTGACAGCAAATTTGCCTTAACAATTTAGCATTTGTTATTGATGATAAATTTTATGAACCTGGGCCCAGACGCCCATTTCCCCATCGATTGGGCTAGGACTTCTATTATCAACCCATTGCTTCCTGAAACCGGGTGTTCCCTGTGTTAAGCCTATGGGAATAAGATAATTTGGTAGTCAATAGGTTAAAAGCAATGGACAATACTTACTGTGGTGAATTCAAAGTAATACAGGCAGTTGTCCGTCAGGATGAACCATCTCCTCTTCCAGTTCTTATACCTTCCACCTATCAATGCAATATCAGAAAACTTATTCGTTAATACCGACAAAATAACAATATATCAGGTACATGCATTGGAGAACTGTACCCTGGGCAGTGTTTCACGAAACCGTCATTAGTACAAGTTCACCGAAATCTTATTGAAATGTGTGTATTAAGTTTAACACGCGTTTCAATGAGATGTACCGTAATTAACGGTGTATTAACCGCACCTTTTTGTCGCCGGAAAAAATTAAAAGTCGGGGGTGCGGTTTCTACAAGGTACATGAATTTTTTTAATTTTTTTTTTAAGGGCGAAAAAGAGGGGTGCGGTTAATACACGAGGGCGGTTTATACAATGTTAATTACGGTAGGTGAACTTGTACTTACGAAGGTTACATTAAAACGGTGCCCAGGGGTAGAAAAGAGTGCATTGTGTGTTGTTGAATGGAGAGCAGTTGTTAGTAATAACCGACCCACCAAAGGTGTGAATTGAAGAAGAATGTCACTCTGTGAAGGACAACTGAGACCGAGTTCAAAATGATTTGGTTTTCTTTTCCTTATTACGTACACTAAGGGGAGGTTATGATATTAATTACATTACTCAAATAAGTGACACCTTCACCCTAGCCATCGATTCTCCACCACCACCCCCTATGAACAAAATAAAGCTTTTAATTGTCTATCTCAAGATCTGAGACACCATTCCAAATGTAGCTGCAATATTGAGACATGGATGTTTTAATTTAATCATCCAATAACATTCCAGAAAGAGTTTGGTATAACATGAGTGAATCAATTTGATTTTTTTTTACAGAATGACTGTTTTCTCAATTTTTAATTTTTAATTTTTCCTTTTGCTACTCATAAATATCTTGATTTCTAATTGTTTTTCAAGTTGTAACAGACAAAATTCTATTCTCCTTTTCCGTTCCTTTCCTTATTCAACACTATTAACCACATTTTATTTTTAAACCTCATAAAACCATAATTACTACCCCGCACTGAAAGTGAAACCGTATGGAGACAAAAAGTGAAGTGATATCTATAATAATTTGAAAGACTATCCCATAATCACCTCATCATTCAAAGTCATTAAGTATCAAAATCAGAATTCTTGATTTTGTAAGTGTGTAGTGTGTACATTATAAATCTGTACAGTCATGAGCATGATACGGTCAAACCTGTCTATAAAGGCCACCCAAGGGAAACAGGAAAACTGGCCACTGTAGAAAGATGGCCTTTCTAGGCAGGTTAATATACAATACATATTTCTTCCTCGAGGGAGGTACTACATATGACCACTATAAACAGGTGGTCTTTATAAACAGATGGTCTTTATTGAGAGGTGGTCCTTATAGAGGTGGCCATTCGGACAGTTTTGACTGTATTACCTAGAAATGAGAATCAGCCAAATGCTATTCTCATGAAATGATTGATCTGTATTCCCTTTGGTAAATGAATGTGTTGTGCCAATGATATATGATTAATCGTACGAAAACCACCTTTTTCACAAAATGAATGTATAAATGAATAACCTTCATGTTGTGCCTTGAACCCCAGGTGCCCTTTTGCCACCAATATGGTATCACATATCAAATCATAGTCCCAGCAACAGTTAAAAAAACAAGGCCAACTTTAAGAGGGGAGCTGGGGAAATATTGGGGTACAGCTTTTTTTTATATTGGCAGGGAACTTTGCTACACATTGATAAAAAATAGGTTTTCACGCAGAGATCTAAACAAATATGGAGGGGGGGGGGGGTAAGGGGACTGAATAATGTGTATTTTCTACCAAAGGGGGTCAAGCAGAGAGCGTATTGCAGCTAAGATATAAACAATGGTTTTATTTTGGAGCGATATACCGGTAATGCTTAAAATAATTTGAATACCGGTAATGTGAAGACGCCGACATTGGGAAAAAATAAGGAAATTCATCTTTGCAAACACAATAACATCCGCAATTCATATGTAAAAAGGGTCAAAATAAAACAAAGCTAGAATTATTGGTATAAGATTCAAATATCATTTTAAAATACACAAATAATTTTCACAACACTCCTGCAGATATTCATGTGCAGAAAGAGGTAAATGGCGGGGAATTTGAGAATTTTACACAGAGGGTTTTAACAATAAATCTATCACACTACATTTAAAAAAAATGAAAGCAAAATAGTTTTCTAGTCTACACATAAATTACTCAGCAAGTGTACGGGAAGAGGGGCAAGCAGATTTCTGTTGGCTTTTAACAAGTGCGGATTGAGATTGCATCAGTATTTCACATAAAGCTCTCTTGCAGATTATTAGATGAGTTTGGACAGTGGGAAAGATTAAACTCTGTGGCATTAAAACATTGATTCTATCTTTCATATTAATCAAAAATTTACAAAACGAGAGGAAATTATGAGATTAGGATGACTCAGCAACAACATTTCACCCCCCCCCCCAAAAAAAAGGCAAAAAAAAAAGATAAACTTTAAAATAAAAAATGCACAGGCTAAAAAGAGGGGTACATTTTTGTCCTGATATTCATGATTAATTGAATTGAGAATGCATTCTCATCACAGAATTGCAATGAACATTGATAATTTTGTTGGTCATGTACATTATATTCACAAGTGTTAGACCCCTGTTATCAATGAAAACATTTTCATAGAACACAACAAACGTTAATGAAATTGAGATTTTGATATTGTTTGACTTGGCATAGTCCCACCAAAGCATTTTGATGATCAATGCTTGGCTATTTTTTTTTTTTTACAAGATTTTAAAAAATGAAAAGGGAATTTATTTCTACAACTACACACTGCATTAAAAAAAAATAATAATTGCATCAAAGCTGGGCAAAGAAAAATTATACATAAATTCAACTGCTGTCTGTTTCCAAAGTAAAAAAGGACGATATCAACTTTACCAAAAAACGTAGGTTGAAAGACAAAGGGGATGTTAAGACTTTGGAAAAATGGTACAAGATAACGCCCTTCTGGCTTTTGCCGGATGATGAGGCAATACTTGATTAAACTCTGAGCAAATAGAACCTGAAAATTTGTAAATATGTTAAGGTGACACCTTACAAAGTCCTTCATAATTTTCATCTATCATGCATATCTATAATACATCTTATTTATACTCAAATTCTTCTATTTCTACAAGTCCAAGCTAACATGATGCTAATTGCCATACCAAAATAAAATATTTTCACGATGCAAGAAAGAGAATCAGGAGTATCTCATAAACTGAAGAAAAAAATTATAAATCATAAGAATCCTAGTACACTCACTAAAATAAAAATGATAAACTAAGAATAAACTATTTAAAGAATTAACTTAATTAGGAAAGAAATTTTAAGGCATGCTTCACTGATAACAATTAATCTGACAAAACATGTCAAATATCAAACAGATTAGTACCAGGAATTTTAGAGACATACCCTGTATATTGCACACACTAAGCAATCCTACCATGACCACATTCAAGAAGAAATCATGTTTGAGTAAAATTTGAAAGGATTTAAATGTATCATCTCTCTAGTGTTCCAAATAGTTGTCAAAGATTATCAAATGACAAGGAGAATAATGAAACAGAAATCAGAAAGACATGATATTGTTATGATGCATAACTGACAAGTTATTTTCTCTGACCAAAAGTTGGGAGAAAGCTTGTGATCAATTTTAAATCTTTTCTGTTGAGATTGTATAATTTATCATTTGGTAACTTATTCTGATTGTCCCATTCACCAAAATAGTGTCATAAACTACATAAAGTCAGATTGATTAGTGTGTGTTTGGCACAGTTCACAAACCTTTTCTACCAACTCTTTAAGTTCCATTCAAAATTAAAAAACAGAATTTACATATCAAACAAATATTGCTTTAGAATGCAATGCAAAAACCAAAACAAATTAATAATACAAAACATAATAGCAGTTTACACCATTGAGACTGAGTTACTCATAGGTTTCACAAGGACAATTACAATTTCTATTTTAATATCATTTCTTAAACCTTTTTTTTCTTCAGTTGATTAAGTGCAAAGAACAAAACACTTTGCACAAATTAATATATATGCATATAAATATAACTTGTGATTAGTTTCCCCTTTAAAATTAGGGTAAAATTAATCAACATTTGTTGATATCAAGTACATAATTTATAGATACATGAATAGATTTTTAATAAAGAAAGAAGCTGTAAAGCTGAAGCTAGAGATGTCACAGTGAATGAACTGTTACTGTTCACAATTTACCTACATGTACTTGTATGAACATTCTGATTTTACCGTGTCAAATTTGTAAATATACCACTTCATCAGTGTAAATTACCAGTGTTAATTACAGATTCTAAACAATCTACTCAATATCTTTAGGACGTCATAACTCCTCCGCAAGAAGCCACTTTACCGACGTACATTCTGATTTTACCCATGTAGATTACCCTGTTTACCAGTGTAAATTACGGATTCTTAATAATCTATACTCAAGTTTTTAAGGACGTCTTAACCCGTCCGCAAGAAGCCACTTTACCTGCTAGTGAACCTGGAAAGGTTCTTTTCTGGTCATTGCTAAGAAATGCAGGCAATATCACGGAACAGATCCCATTAAGGACTAGTGACAAGAAACGCTCATAAATTCACAAGTTCATGACATTAGAAAATTACCCGCACATTTTATATAAGAGCAACACCCATGATCAAATTCGCTTTTCATAAGTACTTACAGTTGTCAAAATCATGTTTTGAAAAGGGTATCTTTGGCTATAAATGCGTGGGCTCTGTTTCGAATCATTTTCATTATCATATAGATACATTTCATCTATATTTTATGCTACGAAAACACCAGGAAGTGATAGTGGTAAACTGTAGAGCAGTATATTCAGAGGCTCCCCAACTGCGAGAATGAATAGAACGAAAGAATCGAACACATGTCCACAATACATCAACCAACCAATCACTTTATCATTGTTATCATGTAGTGACTAAGCCATTGTTTTAAAATGACAGTTCACAACTTCTAGACTCGTCATCAAGACAAT